CACATATAGATCCTTGTAATTGGTTCCCTCTTTCCAACCCACTCTCTCTCTACCCTCCCAGTATCGCCACTCAGCCATTTTCATACAGTGACCTCTGCTATAGCTTGGGGTGCAGTCAGGACCAGAGCATGTTTTGATTATGGAGAGAAAACCTGGTGCAGTTGGCACCCTGGAAAGCATGCCTGTGTACCAAGAACCTCTTGTTTATTACAAAATCACAGGCACTGGTTTGGGAGGGACCAGGGGACAGGAAGGAGGCCTGATGTAGTGAGTTATGCTTTGGGCTGCTAACTTCAAGGTCTGAGGTTCAAAGCCATCAGCCATTCCTCAGGAGAAGGAGGAGGCTTTCAGTTTGTGTAAGACTTATACTCAGGAACCCACAGTGCAATTCTACTCTCTCATGTAGGGTTGGTGGCAATGAGAATGGGCTTGATGGTAGTGGGCTGGGAGCAGGAGGAAACAGCTGACAGGAGGGAGATTTTACAGCTGTGTTAGGCTTGCTTGTCTACAGATACAAAACCAATGATGCCTATATAGGTATAGGAAGAGAGAGACTCTCTAGTATCAATAAAATGGCTCGTATAGTTGTAAGAATGGGTAAAGCCAGTCCGGGTCAAGTCCATGGGTCAGATGTTAAGCTGGAGGCTTTTCCTGAACCGAGCAGCTGCTTGGGGCCTGCTGGATCAGGAAGCAAGAAGAAGCCAGAAAACCACAGGCTGGTGGATGCCAGCAGATCAGGCTGTGGCTGGAAGAGTCAAACGAATCCAAAGTCAGCAGGGTCGTCAGGCAATAGCTCCTGAGGTTGGCAGGCAATATGGCAGGTTCAAGAACCAGAGGTAGATGCAACAGAGGTGGGATCCAGGCCAGAAAGGAAGCGAGGCTCTCCAGCGTTGTTGATTTAAATAATGAGTAAGCCAGACCCCCTGAGGAGATACCATTACCCATGTAACAGTTTGGCTTGCAGCAGATCCCACCAGGTATGGGGGGAGGTTAAATGCGCAGGCATTCCCTCCCCTGAAGGCAATCAGTTGCCAGACTGCTGTCTCATCCCACTGCAGGGCTGGGCCTGCTCCCTGCCTCTGGGGACAATGGGCAGGCCCCTGTAGGAGGAGTTTTCACCCTACTGATAATGGTTCCTATGGAGAACCAGAGACCACCCCCTAGACCACCCTCTCATTGCTGTGTAACCTATAGTGCAGCTCCTCCCTGCGATGTATGTCTCTACCTGTAATTAGTGGGCTGGCTTGCCCCCAAAAGGTATATAGGCGTGAGTCAGCAATATAGATCTCTCTGACTCTGAGCTCCTTGCTGCTCACTCCCTGGGCACTCCCCTCTCCCTTGTTCCCTTACCCTCCTTCCCTTCCCCCTCTCTCCACGTGGACCACCAAGCTGGACTGAGGTGAGCAATGCTACCCTGTAATATGTCTGACTGTATTATTGTAATATCTCCCATGCTCTTGATGACTTTAATACAATACTTACATATCTCAACTGTACAATTGTGCATTACTGAACCCAGAAATAGTATTACTGAACCAGTGAGTTCTAGCAGCAGATGGGGCTGGCCACCCCCCCTACCACTTTTAATTTAATACTACAAATGGCGCGCAACATGGGGCGCCATTTGTAGTATTAAATTAAAAGTGGCGGAGGGTGGGGGGGAGGAGGATGAGGGGCCAGCCCCCACCGCTAATACTACTACTACTCACAGGTTCAGTAAGTACAATTGTACGGTTGAGATATATAAGTGTTACATTAGAGTCATCGAGAGCATGAGAGATAATACAATAATACAGTCAGACATATTACATGGTAGCATTGCTCACCCCCGCCCCGCTTGGTGGTCCTCGTGGGGGGAACCCGGCTGCCAGAGCAGGAGCCGCCTCCCTCCGGGAGCTGCCCTCTCTTCCACCACCCTCATGGGAGCTGTCCTCACAGGAAGCAGCCATCCTTCCTCAGCTGCCCTCTGCCAGCCACCCTCGGCCAGCCACCCTCCTACAAACCAGGGAGCCTCCTTATTTATTGCTAACCACGCATCATACTACTTTGGGGGGGATACATCACAGCATCATGCTTCACAGAGAGGGGCAATACAATTCACAACAACCTTCGTCATAGGGAGGGATTGCAACATAGGCAATACAAGCAATAGGAGGGGGATGACCTAGTCATCTTAGAGTGGTTCCGGGCTTGCCTTTGGGCACTGCTTCGAGGGAACAATAACAAAAAGGAATGGGCCCTATTTGGGGTGAGTCAGACTATACAGTCTGGCCACTCTAGATGGCTGATGTTAAAGAGAATAACCTCTGACCTATTTTCGCTGCCTAATGAAC